GATCATCACGTTTATCGCTGCTAGCCTAGCCCATAAGTCAAAGTTAATTGTTACGTGTGATGCTGACTACTACAAGATTGACTTCAGTTATAGTGCAATAACAATTGTCTTAAAAATTCACTTTGTTACAATTGACATGGACTACTATAAAAGCATTGGTAGAGTGTCACTGTTTTTCTGATGCAAATAGGAAACATTTTAGTAAAGATTTACTTTTCATTGTCAAACAATGAAGGCTTTCTTAACCCATATGTACTCTATCGTATGTTAAATATATAAAACGTCATTATTTATGGGTATTTCAGTAGCAACATTCTTTGTACATTTGCAGATTCCGCAGTGTTTAGAGAAAGACACGTATCAAATGTCAAAATTTATAAAATTTACTTTCTCTCTCTCTCTCTCTCTCTCTCTCTCTCTCTCTCTCTCTCTCTCTCTCTCTCTCTCTCTCTCTCTCTCTCTCTCTCTCTCTCTCTCTCTCTCTGTTATATTTCATTTTTAAGAAGTACTGCTGCTTTTACTCTTCCATCAATACCAAAAGCATGTTACCAGGGAAAGCATGAGCACCAAATGACTAATAATCCAATTACATTAGTTAGTCAATTTGTGAGTAGTATACGCAAAACCGGTCAAGAAGTCCCCTTCGCACCAAATTTCATACAAAAATATTTTAAGCCACCTTAATTAAAGCATGAAATAAATCATATTCAAATGCTCGAGAGATTCTGGTGTAAACGATTTCAGTGGAAGCAGCTTTCTGTCTTTGGGAGAAGATAGTAAAACAAAGATAGGTGCTCACACATTTAGTAAGTACTCTTTGTAGACCGAAAAAAATTGCCTCTTGTAATCACTACGTCATATATTAGCAACAACGTACATTCTAGGGCAAGGGTGGAAAAAAAAAGCACTGCCGCGAAGGTGTCCTGATTTTTTCCGTTAATCTTTACATTATACATTGCGTGTCTTTACAAACTATTTATTCGGCCAGCGCCCTTTCCAGAGCAATATGATATTTGAAGGATCTAATACTTCAAATATTGCAGCACGATCTATGGCAAGCTTCCACGTTGACTTAGGCTGGCTGCAATCACAGACACAGAAGTGGGCCAAAAATCGTCAGGATGGAAAACGCCATGAAGAATCTAGGAGAAGTTTTCTAACTAAACTCCATTACCATATTGTTAACATTGATTCAAGTTCAATGACAACGTTTCAGTATTACTTTGCATATGAAATATCGTCGATATCAGTCTCATGCACGTAATAAAACATTTATTATTCCACAGTCCTTATTCGCTGATATTGAATTACCATCATAATTTAATTTTTAGGTTTATATATCTAAATTCTTATGATCCATTCTATATTTCTCGGTATAGATACGTCATTGTGAGAAATTTATGATATAGAATATCAAACTAGCAGGGGCATTGTTTGATTTAGATGTGTTTGACAACTGTATTCTGAATTTAGCGGCTAAAGTATCAGGTGATATTTTCAGTAATGAATGTTCTAAGGTCAGCTTTGCAAAAGGAGTTAAATTCATTAATAGAACATTGTCTCTTGTTACGAATATGTATTTTAATTGATTATATGTTCGTTTTAAATTCAGTTGTTTGTTTTGCGGGACTTGATATTTTTGAAAAAATATTCAGTCTAATTTTAACGTAAAAGGTACATTGTCATTACTTTAGCTCACTTTGATTCATAGAACTTGTAAACATCGGGTGAATACGATTGGTTATTACCAATGTCATTTCGGCCCACGTGTTAAATGAGTTGTAAATAAGCCTTTCCTTTTTTTCCAGTGTGAAAATTTGATTCTTAGATAAGGTTTTTTTTAGTGTACGTAACAAAATACATTTTGTTATTTCGCGGTTTGATGATAAAGTGATCATGTGATCCATCACAACTGTCCAAATTACGTTTATAGTTGGGTTTGATACTTGTATCTTAGTGAAATCTAGCCAGTCGTATTCATACACCTCAGAGCTCAAGGTGTTCTAAATTGTTGATGCAAGCTTGTTTTGAAATTCGTTTATTTTTTGGAATTTAATAATTCATTCTTTAGAAAATTACACAAGTGCTTCATATTTATAAAATTTATGGGAGAGAAGTATTCAGTGGAAATTTATTCAGGAATTCTAAACAGAACATTATAAATGGTGTTTCAACGAGGAATTGTTGCCGTTAGTACAACCACCTCATCTGGCGTCATCGCCTTCCATATTGGAACTTTATCGAGATACGAACCTAGATTCAATTAGAACTGTTTAGTGATAGGACTTATACTTTGCAATTTTAGGATTAATTTTGAATTATATTCTCAAACCGTAAGTTCTATTTCATATTTTGCTGTGTTTTCTATAAAAAAATAATTTATTTTGTTAAAATTTACAAAGCTTGTTGTCGTCACTTTTCTCTTGTGTTGCTTTTGTACAAGCCTAAACATAACACTCTAATTTTTCAGTTACAATGAGGATAAGTTGTGAAAATATCCTTTACACTAAAAGTTTACTTTACGTTATCAAGCCAATATGGCCAGCCAGGCTGGTAAATACCCAATTTCACCCATTTCCAGACCGGTTACCATGCTTCCATATCATATGTACAATGTGTCCTAAGTAACAACGTTCTTTTATGTTCTTTGTACATCAAAGAGCTACAGTAACAGAGATAAGCGATCATATTAAAGTTTCTAGTTCCGTTGCTTGCCAACTACAAAGCCAGCAAAAAACACTCTGTCTCTGTTGGAAGGCTTACATATCAAAGCAATCACACTAGCACTGTCTTGGTTTATACCATAATGGTGTCACAGCGGGGCTAAATTTCACAGCTACATTAAAACATACAGATAAATTGGGGTTAAATTTCAAAGCTACTTTCAACACTTAAAAATAAATTACAACATTTCATTTTTTCTGATGAAAGAGAGGCTGAACCCCATAACCAATAAGCAACCAAGCCATTAGCGGAAAAAGTACAGTCCTCACTCTCCTTGACATGTCTGCAGCATTTGACACTATAGACCATTATATATTACTTCGCCGTCTAAAGCATGTATTTGGCATTTACGATAAGGTCTTAAAATGTTTCAAGTCCTACTTGGTCAACAAGACACAAATTGTGTCCGAAAATGGAAAGCACTCCAGCCCAGTTGATCTATGCTGTGGTGTTCCAATTGGGTCAGCTCTTGAACCTGTTCTCTTCATTATATACACTCAGCCACTCTCAAGTGTCATAGATCTTCATTCAGTGTCTCATCAATTTTATGCTGATGACACCCAAATATACAAATCTAGCCATCCAGCTGAAGTTGAAGCTACCATCCATGGCGTTTCGATAAGTGCATTTCTGATGTAAAATCGTGGATGACATGTAACAAACTGCAGAGGAATGATAATAAAATTAAAGCCTTCCTGATTACAACACATATTTCTCATTCACATCCTTTACATCAGACAATAAATATCAGCAACGTCAGCATAAAATTCAAGCAGTCAGTACGAAATCTTGGTGTCACTCTTGACAATACTCTCTCATTGCATCAACATGTCTTGCGTGTCTTGAGATGAGACGCATCAGCTCCATTCGCAAGTATCTGTCAGTTGATGCCACTAAAACACTTGTGTGTTCTTGAGTACTTTCAAGACTGGACTATTGTAACTCAATTTTGTCTGTTTGATCTCAAAATCTGCTTCCGAAACTTCAAACAGTTCAAAACGCTGCTGCTCGGATCATCCTTAGATTACCACGATAAGAGCACGACTCTCCACTGCTCTGTACCCTACACTACCTATCCATACGATTCATAATTAAACGCAAAATTTGTTATCTGTGTTACGTTTCACTGACCTGCTCAATTCCAACATACCTATCTGACCTCTCCCATGTGTATACACCTGCGAGATGCCAACGATCCTCTTCTGACACTTGTATTCTCATTATTCACACTATGAAGTTAAAATAATATGGACTACATTCTTTTGCATACCAGGACCCAGTAACGCGGAACGAATTGCCCACTTCACCTAGACACCAAGACACAGTGATCTCATTCAAGAGCGCTCTTAAAACTCATCGATTTCAGCTGCATGAACAGTCATAAAGATCAATGCTAAGTATCCTTATAATGTATCCTTACTTTAAAAATTTACAACATGTTTGTTAAGTTTCTAATTTTGTGTTCTTTAATTTTATTTTTGTAATCATATCATTACATATGTATATTTTTATTCTTTTTAAGTGTTGTCAAATGTTGTAAAGCGCTTAGAGCTTCTAAAGATTAGACGCTATATAAATTCCTCGTTATTATTATTATTATTATTATTATTATTATTATTATTATTATTATTATTATTATTATTATTATTATTATTATTATTATTATTATTATTATTATTATACGATGTTTTCTGTACACTACTTCATAATAGTTTGCTTTATTTAACATAAGACTACACGCATTGAACGAGAGAAAAATTTGTTTCTTATTTCTCTGTTTTAAATAAAACTTTGTTCTCTAAAAATTCTTCCATTTTACTGAGTCGATGCATATTCACCCTATAAAATTTACAGAATCTTCAAATTCAACAGTTTTTTTGGCAGTAAAATAATAAAGTATAATAGACACAGTCATACACGTATTATATTGTTATAAAGGATATTCAATTTATTAATTCTTAAAATTATACAAATTTTAACAGTGCATTGGTAGTAAGTCCATTATGATATAAAGCATCTAACTTATGAATCCATTACGTTACTTTTATGAGTCTATGCATGTCACCATGCACAAGATCTATTGGAATGAGAGATAAATCGAGTAGACAGTAATTATTGGTATTAAAGTGTTGAAATATTATAGTAAAATTGAGGATCTGTAATTTTTTTATGAAAGCGATGATTATTCAGTCTCTTACAAACTTGTTGAAGTGTTTGTCCAACATATTGCCTGCTATATTTGTTACAGGTTATCAAAAAAATCACATCACTGCTCCGGTGGTTTAGTGGTTAGAACGTCCGCCTCGGATGTGGGAGATCGTAGGTTCGATTCCCTCTTTAGTCATACCAAAGACTTAGAAAAATGATACTAACAGCTTCCTCGCTTGGCGCTCAGCATTAAGAGGTTAGTGTTAGGACTGGTTGGCTTGGTGTCACAATAATGTGACTTGGTGGGAAATCATACTACATGTATGCGACATGATGCCCCAGCGCAAGACATCACTATAAACTGCCACTCTGCAGACATCGTAGCGAAATGACTGAAAAATTGTTAAAGCTACGTTAAAAATCATAATCACATCACATAAATCACATCAGTTTATACGCAGTTAGTGTTTTATCGTAGAGAAAATACATCTTTTGTATTAGCGCTACTAAAAGAAGTACTTTCTCTTATGTTTGCACATTGAGAGTACGGGTGTCTATTAAATTTAGATGAAGAAATTGACTTTTTTATTTTCTGTCTGTTCAATTCTAATTTAAAAATCTTGTAACTTCTTGGGTCTTTAATATGCAAGCAAGAATTGGCGTATTTTTGTAAAGTGACTTAACCTTGGTAATATTTGATAAATTTAGGAGACTCCAATATTTATGGATTATAAGACCTGTATTAGGTAATGAAATATTATATTGTGTTGTGAAAGGAATTATATTTTTCTCTATGTTACATTTCGCTGTGTTTAAAGCATCATTTTGAGTAAGATTACGGGCTTTATTCAGCGCATAATCAATTATATGTGCATGTGCAAGATAATTTATATTTTGGAAATATGCTTTTAATTCATTCATTTTATAATTAACAATCATCTGCAATAATGCAGATGTATATTTTGCCTGGTTATTCATATGTCATCTTAATGATATGGTTGGTGGTACCCATCCAGATGCCATCTTGATGATATGGTTGGTGGTACTCATCCAGATGCCATCTTGATGATATGGTTAATAGTAACCATACAGATGCCATCTTGATATGATTAGTGGTATCCATCCAGATGCCATTTTGATGATATGGATGGTGGTACCCATCCAGATGCTATCTAAATGATATGGTTGGTGGTGCCCATCCAGATGCCATCTTGATGATATGGTTGGTGGTACCCATCCAGATGCTATCTTGATGATATGGTTGGTGGTACCCATCCAGATACCATCTTAATGCTATGGTTGGTGGTACCCATCCAGATGCCATCTTGATGATATGGTCGGTGGTACCCAACCAGATGTCATCTTGATGATATGGTTGGTAGTACCCATCCAGATGCAATCTTGATGATATGGTTGGTGGTACCCATCCAAATACCATCTTGATGACATGGTTGGTGGTACCCATTCAGATACCATCTTGATGACATGGTTAGTGGTACCCATCCAGATGCCATCTTGATGACATTGTTGATGGTAACCATCCAAATGCCATCTTGATGATATGCTTGATGGTACACATCCAGATGCCATCTTGATGATATGGTTGGTGGTACCCATCCAGATGCCATCATGACGATATGAATGGTGGTACCCATCCAGATGCCATATTGATGATATGGTTAATAATAACCATCCAGATGTCATCTTGATGATATGGTCGGTGGTACCCAACCAGATGCCATCTTGATGATATAGTTAGTGGTACCCATCCAGATGCCATCTTGATGATATTGTTGGTGGTACCCATCCAGATGTCATCTTGATGATATGGTTGGTGGTAACCATCCAGATGTCATCTTGATGATATGGTTGGTGGTAACCATCCAGATGCCATCTTGATGATATGCTTGATGGGACCCATCCACATGCCATCTTGATGATATTGTTGGTGGTACCCATCCAGATGCCGTCTTGATGATATGGTTAGTGGTAACCATCCAGATGCCATCTTGATGATATGGTTAGTGGTATCCATCCAGATGCCATCATGATGATATGGTTTGTGTGTCCATCCAAATGCCATCTTGATGACATGGTTGGTGGTACCCATCCAGATGTCATCTTAATGATATGGTTGGTGGTACCCATCCAGATGTCATCTTGATGATATGGTTGGTGGTAACCATCCAGATGCCATCTTGATGATATGCTTGATGGGACCCATCCAGATGCCATCTTGATGATATGGATGGTGGTACCCATTCAGATGCCATCTTGATGATATGGTTAGTGGTAACCAACCAGATGCCATCTTGATGATATGGTTAGTGGTATCCATCCAGATTCCATCTTGATGATATGGTTTGTGGTATCCATCCAGGTGCCATCTTGATGATATGGTTTGTGGTACCCATCCAGGTGCCATCTTGATGATATGGGTAGTGGTATCCATCCAGATGCCATCTTGATGATATGGTTGGTGGTACCCATCCAGATGCCATCTTGATTATATGGTTGGTAGTACCGATCTAGGTGCCACCTTGTTGATAGGGTTGATGTAATCTATCGGATGCCATCTTGATGACAGGGTTGATGCTATCAATATGCTATTTAATAAAAACAAGTTTTGATGACACTTCCACCACATACAACGTATGAACAAACTGGTTGTTTCTGTAATTCCCAATATTTTCCCTCTTTTGTCATATTGAAATGTAAACTAATCACATTCTCTTTCTGAAAACCACTAAAGTTAACATTTCTAATGTTTGCTCTACATTTTGTCGCTCTGCTCAAGAACGGCTTTTGATTTTCAATTCAGTATTGCTTATCGCTATATGCGTGGGTTGGTGCAAAAGCAAATAACACTCGCTAGAATTGTTATATCGATATCACTCTGAATTTGTAGTGTCGTTTCCATATCTGGATCCACTAACTAATTGTCATTTTGTTTTTCTTTTAGTATTGTTATGTATCTCTATGTGAATTATTTGACGTCAACATTTTTACTCCGCGGAGCTGTCAAAAGTTATTTTCCATTTACATGAATTGACAGATGTGACTAAGGATCCTTGGAAAGATGAACAAGAAGTCGAGGATTGGAATAACCGAATTTATATTTTTAATCACAAGAATGATATATGATTAAAGGGTTCACTGTGACTTTCATTTAACCCTTTATATCCTCTAACTTAGCCCATATAATAATTGATTTTATTTATCAATTTATCATCATTTCGAAATTGTCATTAAAATAACTCGTTTACCTTTGTGGTGACAATTCATCACACGAACCCGGTAGCTTTGATTACCGGTCTATGACAACTATTAAAAGAAAATGCAACTTTATATGGTTTCTTTGATGCTTTGTCATAGGGTTCATGTAGGTCAATAGTGTCATAATCAACCAGACTCTGATGTTCAGAAGTTCAAAGATAAATCGACACTTTTATCCAGGGAAACAGGACCAGCATAACTGGTGATTGATTTGCCACAATAGAGCAATAAAAAACATTTCAAACTCGTTTTCTCAATACCTGGCGTAACATAGCAGATATATAGGTTTTTCAGTGTTTGTCTTTTCTTAAGCAGACATTTTCACACGTGGAAAAATGTATTGTCACTAGGGCGATGCCATTTGGGACAATATGAAATGTTTACGTTTTGCTTATGCACTATTTACCTTCATTATGAAAGAACTGAAATTGTCTTTCCATTTTATGTTTTAAGGAAAAACAGACAGATGATGGTAAACAATAACTAGATAAATAAATTGCCTTTGGAAGTGAGACATATCTAATACCACTGTGTATTGATTAAATGGGAACAAGTAGTTATTGTCACCATAGAATGATATCTTCTCATGCCTATAACTTTCAACATCCCATTATCCAATATATAACACAAATGTATGTTTATTGGAGTTTCGATATGCATCTTGGTGTATATCCATAACGTACATTTTCGTGTTTGCCATTGTGTATACTTACACAATCCATATTCATGCTACTTTTCTTACCTCTAAATTAATACAATTAATTCTCTCTCTCTCTCTCTCTCTCTCTCTCTCTCTCTCTCTCTCTCTCTCTCTCTCTCTCTCTCTCTCTCTCTCTCTCTCTCTCTCTCTCTCTCTCTCTCTTATCGCCAGCCATATTGTCCTGACTCATTTTAAAAGAAAAATACAGGGAAGGAAGTTATCTTTCATGTGACTGATACAACACTTTATTCCTATGTGACAGATACAACACTTTATTCCTATGTGACAGATACAACACTTTATTCCTATGTGACTGATACAACGCTTTATTCACGGAAACTTTGGATGTATCTAATTGATGTTACAAGATTGACGTATATACAAAATATTTAAAGAACGTATGTACATCTGAGAAATCATACTCCGTAAATAGAAACGTTTCTCTAAAATGTCAATTAATTTATGTTAAGAAATGTTAATTATTGTAGTATTGAACACCGTTGTTAATTATTGATATTTATCAAACGTTTAATCTTATGTTAAAGATGGTGGAAATTAGAGCATTGCTAAGCTCCGCGATCTCGACTGACTTTGATGTAGGTCACTTTGCGGTGCTGAAACTCGAAAAGATTCAGATTGGGGGTTCCGTTGAGGGCTGCATTCTGGATGTTACCAATGATGAAACGTTTGGACAACCCTCCTTGGAATAGATGATTTTTAATCTTGGATCGGAGTACAGCAGGAATGTTGAATGTTTTCACTTCTACACGTCGTATCAGATACTTGGCGGTAGTTCTGCTTAAGGAGTGGCTGATATATATCCCCGCTTTAAGTAACACTTCTACGCAGCGGACGTAAAGTCTTGCTTCACGGATGATGGTTTTCTAAGTGTCGGCCTCAGCCATCAAATGGAAATCGGTACCGCTACGATTCAGTCTCAGGCGAATATCCACTCCGTTCAGCATATACTTGTCTTACAACCACATGTTCAAATGTAAACGATCCGTCAGTTCTTAACTAAGTTTATTCATAATTTTCTTTTCACGTTCACTAAATCCAATAATGTCGTCATCCAGCTCGTTAAATTGGCCCGTCGTGTCCGGTTTCCATACCACGCAAGCATCCAGATGAGTATTATTGACCTATTCCGTACGTCATGAGATTTTCCAGGTGCGCTCGGTAAGAGTAGTTATCCATACTGATGATGATCACTTTGTTAT